AGACCAAGTTGCGACAACGAGGTCAACCCACTTCTATCAATCGAAAGGAGACTGCGACCACACCAGTGGCTACAACATCTTGGTTTTCATATATTCACAAAAAAGTCCATGTTATTTTGGAGAAAAGATGGAGCCTCACCAAAATAAGAAGAAACATTCTGTTGGAAGAAGTCTTCAGCAGGCCGCCCTACAACCGGAATCCCACTGTGCTGACCTTCCGCCTCTAGCAAATTGAAACCATTCTTATCGCTAAGAGATATCATGCACGAAATTTCAAAAAAAGGAAAGTTATTTGATGCAACTCTACCTACTCCGTTTACCTCATTTTGCCCTCTCCCTTGGGGTCGCAGGACGATGTGCCAATGAGCTCTTCGCACAATTGCGCTGTCTCAACTCATTCGGTCAAGCCAACCTATTAATCCCATCTACCACACTTCATAGAATAGCAACTTCTTAGTACAACAACATTAAGGAAGATGTTGAAGGCCACTTTTGCTTCATTCTTGCAGGAAACGACACTAAAAGAAGCCTATCGGATCGCCCCAAAAGCAACACAAAGTTGCGAAGACAGAGTCAAGCCAAGCCTACATAGTGTTGGAAGGATGAGATAGAATGAAACGCTACACCATATTTGTCTCTAGGATGATATTAATTTTGCTATCTGTAATCATTAACTACTCTCATCTTGGCAGTGCATGCAAGGAATTAACTCTCACAGTAAACTTCTTACAACTAAAAAAAGCAAATGTCTAATATGATGTCTGTCCGTGAATGCAGCCAATAAATACCTCATTAAAGCATTATAAAGTTCTTTTATCCTTTTGACAGCAAAGGCGGCAGGCACAACCCCACTTCAAGGTGTCTTTACAAACGTTTTTTATGTGAAATTGTTATTTATGTAGCTTAGGTAACTACTTTCAACCAAGGTCCCATTAATAAACTAGTCCTCCTGCAAGTGGCAAGATTTTCGTCATGCGTCACAAATATAAACTACAAAATGCTATAGAAAATCTATTCATCATACGAATTCTGAAAAATAGCATTTATAGTAATATGTCTTAATCATTTCCTGCATGACAATTTTCGAGGCTATATAAGTAGAGGACAAAGGCTAAACTCCTAACATTATATATCTACACTACTTTAAGTAATATAATATAATTTAATATCTTTTTGTACCACCGTGACAGGTGACTGCGCATGGTAGCTCAGATTAGAGGCAAAAATTAAAAAAATGCACGGTTCAAGATTAACTAAATTTCGCGAAATAACAAATAAATATAAAGAAATAATAATAATACTAATATCAACAGGTTATTTAGGTAGATTTAGTGAGTCTGAAGGAGTCGCTATAGAACTATTCAGGATCTACTATACAATGCTTACAGGGCATCCCCAAGTGGCCCATGGTAAGTATAAATCAAGATGGCATCAGAGAACAAGTATTCTTATTAGTTGGTTAAAAGAACCAATGTGTGAGGTAGTAAGGTAGCTAGTTCCAAAATAGTTCTATATAGGCATTGTGAGAATGGTTAATAGTGCATAATTAAGGGAAGCGTCATGAGAGATCCTTCGATTCATTCCATTGAATGCAGGCTCAAGAGAACTTCTGGTGGGAAAGTGATTGCAATTGTGTAAGTATGACGTGGCGGAAGAGACGAATCAACATTTTAAGGTGGGCAAAGTGGCTCTGAGGTAGAAAATAAAAAGGCCTGACGACAAGACCTTGTGAATGTTTCCTAGGGTGAATGAAATGGACGATGAAATGTTCAAGGGACTTTTTCACTTGGACTCTTCCTTAAATCAGGAGACATTACGTGACGTTTTGAGCGAGAAACGATGATTAATTACGCTGAATGCCTTTCACTTTAGCAAACAAAGGTCAAATACATCACTGCTTTGCATTAGTACTTAGTCATGGGTTGAGGTGGCCTGTTGCTAAGACTCCTTTTCGGATCAATTGACGAAGGGTCATCGGATAAGAAAAGTGTTGCAGGTTAATTCGCAGTTAACATGACGGTAGCCAAACCTGAAGCCAAGTCAGAAGATTGCAAACAAACACGGCACTGGAATCGAAACCGGCTCTCTGACTATTTTTGATGTTAGTTTGCGAAGAAAATATTCAGTAATTTTTGAGTAACGGGCTGGACTACTTGAGGTGATTTAGGAATTTATTGCGGTCTTTTTCCATAATTATATGAGTAAGCCTCATGATACCATTGAATTTCTCTTCCAAAAGGAAGGCTCTCACCATCAATGCAAGGTGGTAACATTTCAACAGGATGCGCAAGACCCTATTTCAGATTCTTATAAGGCTGAAGATAATGATGATGATGAGCAATAGGTAGAGGAATAATAATAATAATATTAATTATAATAATATTAAGGATAATGGTTATTATTGTAGTGTTGGTAGTGTGGATAATAATAATGAGAATAATAATAATGATGATGACGATTATAATAATGAGTATTATGATGATAATGGAGGATGAGGATGATGAATACAGTGCCGTTAATGATGATGATGATAAAGGTGATGATGAGAAAAATAATCACAATTATCATGGTAGTGGTGGTTGTCATGATGACGATGCGAATAATGCTGCTGTTGATGTTAATGATGATGAAGAAGAGTAGAAGGAAGATGATAATAATGATTATAGTGTAGCGGCAAGGATGATGACGATGATGACAATGATAGCGATGATTCGGGTGGTGCTGATGCCGGTGTTGTTGAGGCTGAAATTGTAGTTCAGCGAAAGCAGCCAGCACAGAATTTCATTGTCGTGTTTTTGACGTTTAGGAGAGTTCGAGATTGCAGGTCACTCTGGATGAGAATCCCCTTTGGTGGGTGAGGGGCTAAGTAAAGTTGAATGAATTAACGAGGCGGATTGGCCTTATTGCGTGCGAATTCACAATCATTCCTTCACCTCTTTTGCGGCTACCAGTAGTTTCGAAATTCTACCAAGTTGTGGTTGATCTATTTTCACATGTGCCGCCACGTCCTTTTGTGTAGGGCACGTATGCGACATTATTTTGACCTTTCTGCCGGCCGTTCGGCATTTTAAGCTTTAAACCAAAGAAGTTTGAGCTTTCTTACACGGTATCAGAAATGTAGAAGACACCTTTCGACGAGAAAAAAGGTAAGGGCTCGTACATGCTGCTCATTTTGCTCCATGTACACTATGCGACAAACTATGGCGGTAGCGTTATCATCACACTCAACATCAACATCAGTCCGATTTGTGTGCGATACCGACAAATGAGAGGCTTTGTTGTGATGCTGGTGTGCCGCCCAGTCTGAGGAGAGGTGGCTCAATCCTCGAGTGATGCCATGTTCACCGAAAGGCCTTGAGCCCAAGCCCAACCGAGAGCAAAGTAAGCTCAAGCAGAGGGTCGTATAGAAATGGTTGTGGGTACTTTAGCGATGTCGAGCGTAAACTGTGACTTCTCCGACATGCTCTGGCCGTATCGGTTCGATCTATGTCCATCCAGCTGCTCAGCTCCGCAAGAAATGGACTTTGATGCAGGCGAGTCGCCAGAACTTGGCAGAAAATGAAGCCGAGTCTCGCGAAATAGGTGACTAGGCAGCGTCGAGTCGACTGAACCAACAGAGCTCGGATCGTGAAAAATGAGACTTCATGTTAACTTAAGTTTGTTTATACAGAATAACACTGCAAGATTGTGAACATGCTTCACACAATCAAGCTACAAGTTCCTCAGTGAGCAGAATTCGGCTCAATAGGCACCGGTTTCGGCTTGTCTGTTTTGATTAGACAAAACAAAAAGAATATATGAAGACCAAGATGGTGTGGCCTTTGGCATGACCGAAGTCTCCTTTTGATGCTGACAAGAATTCTGGGAATGTGCCAAGTTTACGATCCGACCCTGGAAATTATGAAAACTAAGAGAGCAGAAGACTTTGGACAAAGTGTGTCCAACTAGGTCGGCCAGACAGCGCGACTAAGTTGCAAGACAAAATGACTTTGTCCCAAAGGGATAAAATGGAAAAACTAAATTTAGCGCTAAAAATTCACTTTGTCACGTAGCCCAAAAAGCCGTCTGCATCTCCGGCCTCAACCGCACCCTCCGCTCCTCCCATAGTGGGACTCGCACCAGCGGGTCCGCCAGCCCAGAGCCCACATAATCAGAATCCGGCCAAGTTGTATGAAAAGCACACAACCCAGCTGTAGCCTTGAGCTCACGGGACTTTCGAAACTTCGAAGTCAAGGGAAGGCGGTCTAGCTGGATGTAGTCGAGCATAGAATGAGCTACAGAGAAAAAGTTATCGTGTTGGATCCGCCAGGGGACATACAGTAAAGTATCCTAAATGTCGCAACAGTATGTTTTTAGGTATGCTAAGAACGCAACGCAAGCTTGGGATACAATTTTAGTTGACCCTATGTAAATGGGTTAAATATGTGTGTCTATGTATATATATATATATATATATATATATATATATATATGAGTGTGTGTGT